GAGGGACCTTTTGCAAAAAAGGCCTTGCTTGGTCACCTTCCAAGAAAGTGTCTCTTCCCTCTGTTGTCCTGGTGCACTGTAATATACCAAAATAACTTATTCTTTGGCATGATCAGGGTCTTGACTCTTCATTTGGAACATATACACTGAAAAAATGGGGGGTTGTATGTATGCTGTGTCCTACCCTAAAAACCCTTGTAAGCTGCCACTTTTTGAAATTCTCTTCTCAGATTGCCCTGAAAATTTTGCCACTTTTTTAAATAACATGCTGAATAAGCTCAGCAAACTAAAAAACCAGTTACCAGGAGGTTATCTTGTGAAGTGAGCATGATTTTTTGAATTCATTAATATTCCTTTTGGTAGATTTTGACCCTTGGGGGAAAATAAATACAAGTATAGATAAACAAAAGACATATTCTCTTAAAAGATGGCTGGGGGTGGGGCATATCTACTAGCAGAGGCCAGAATGGTCATAGATACCGATTTTTCGCAAACCCCATTCTTGACCTTGAGTACTGGTGAAGGGGTACTGCACCTTCATTCCCTCGATACAATTTTGGTTTTCCATGTTGGTGTGGAGCTCCTGGTTTTCTGTGTTTGGACGGTGAAGATTTGGACCCTTGCATTCACAGTCCCTTTCTAAGTGAAGGGAGAGGCTGGCTTGGCTGTTCCTTGTTATTCCGAAAGCCCTGGTTTGGGGCTCATGTTCACATTGGCTCTCAGTCTGGCCAGGTGCAATGTTCTTGAGAGGTGGGGACCTAATTATTACCAGAGTAGCAGGAAGAGAGGGAACATTGTGAATTAAGTATTCAATTAAAAGGAAACATGATTTCGACCTGATTTTGAATGTGTCCTTTGTTTTCACTAGTTAAAAATGTTTTCAATATAAAAAAGTATAAATTATGAACAATTCAATTGAAATTCCTCTGGAAAGATATTGGTAAACCAATTAGTCTGTTAAAATTTTCTGTGTTGAGTTCAAAGGAAGCTCACTTTTTTGTATGTGAGCAGATTCCTTCACACAGACATTGCAGTTAGTTTGTGAGGTGGGGAAGGCTCTTGCTGTTTGAAAATAGATTAACTTGCCTAAGGTAACTGCGACAGTTTTCAGGCTGTGGCATAGTAATGCCTCATTTGTCTCAAATGTGTTATTTATGTAAAAAATTACCTTAAAACTTAGTAGCTTGAAACAAGGAATCTGGGCATGCCTTACCTAGGTTCTCTGGCTCAGTGTCTCATGAGGCTGTGATACTTGCAGTCATCTCAAGGTCTGCCAGGCCTTTCAAGATCGCTCAAAGTGGTTTCTGGGAGGGTTCGGTGGGTTGAATTTTGTGGGTTGTGGATTGAGGTCTCAATGCCTTACTGGCTGTTGGCCAGACACCTCCTTCAGTTCCTTGCCACATGGCCCTTGCCTTAAAGGGTCAGCTCACAACATGGGAGGTGGCTTCCATCAGAGCAAGCAAGAGAGCAAGCTGGAAGCCAGAGCCTTTTCATCACCTAATCTCAAAACTGGCATTCCATAACTTTACCATAGTCTGTTTGTTAGAAGTGAGACACAGCCCACACTCGAGAGGGACACAAGGACATGAGTAACAGGAAGCTGCCTGCCACACTGGAGAATGAGGCACCGCTATGTTAAAGCTTGAAAGCTTAAAGGCATGGTTAAAATGCAAGGATTTGTGGTTCAGAGGTGTATGGAGGTAGAGAACTGCTTTCTATATCCAGAGCTTTTTAAAACCTTGCTTGATTAGGAGCTAAGAACCTGGAGCTGGCCAAGTATGGAAGACGTGACAGACCCTAATGACTTCTTTTAACAGAGTTTTGCACATTTAAAAACCATATTTCTTTCGTTAAAATTTTGGTCATAATCAAGGTGTTACTGTTTTGTGACCATGTCATGTACCCCATTTATTTGATGCATTCACAGAACCTACAGTTCCAAGCCTTAGGGTCATAGAGTGAGTCATTCATGGTACTGCCCATGAAGCTACAATCTAGCCAGGAAGTCAACATTTACTAGAAAGCAGAAAGGAATGGATGAGTGTTACATAATGGTGCTGGAGTTTCAGAGCTGGGTTCTTCCAGCCATGGTAACTTACAGCAGAGATTCTCAAACTGTCTGTCCAACGCGACTTGGATTAGACAAAAGGTTCCATCCTTTTCCACTTTTCAGTGGAAAAACAAATTGGTGATAAGGAATTGGCACTGTATAAGCAGTTGGAAGTGGGTGGAGATTATGCTTTACTACAAGGTGTTTGGATAATTCATATTTAAGTTGCTGTGTATCTTTAAATGTAAGAACACCAACAGATCAAAGAGTTAATGATTCAGATAAATGCAGGTTGATGATTTTTAAAGAACAGCAATAATTGAAACAAAGGGCTGCTCAAAAAAACACTGACTTGGGAATGCAATTACTAACACACTGCTTTATGTCTCTTTCGTTTTGTTTTGTTTTGTTTTGTTTTAGGAGTTCGCTCTGTCGTACAGGCTGGAGTGCAGTGGCGTAATCATGGCTCGCTGTAGGCTCAACCTCCTGGGCTCAAGCAATCCTCCTGCCTTAGCCTACCAAAGGCTGGAATACTTGGACTGTTTTGTTTTTTTTATGATATAGGCAAGTGCAGCATGTCAACCAAGCTTCTTAATAGAGCACTACATTCTAGTCCTTAGTTCTAGGACTGTACAGATTTTAACTTATTTATGTATTTATTTTAGAAACAGGGTCTCGCTCTGTTGCCCAGGCTGGAGTGCAGTGGCACAATCATAGCTCACTGCAGCCCTGGACTCCTGGGCTCAAATGATCCTCCCACCTCAGCCTCCCAAGAAGCTGGGACTATAGGCGTGCTCCACCATGACTGGCTAAGTTTTTATTTTTATTTTTGTAGAGATAGGGTCTCACTATGTTGCCCAGGCTAGTCTCAAACTCCTGGCCTCAAGCAATTCTCCTGCCTCAGTCTCCGAAAACACTGTGATTACAGGTGTAAGCCATCATGCCCAGCAGAGACTCATTTTCACATAAGGGCTGCTTTCTTGTAGTTTTGAGACATTATGGGTTACTAAAATATTATGAAGTTAAAATCTGAAGTCTTTGATATAAAATGGCATAGTAATTGCACATGAACAGGCTGGCTACAGCTAAAAGCAGCTCTTAGCTTTTCATAGTGGAGCCAGAAAAGCAGAAATTTCATTCCTTGCATTTTTCATGAAATAAGTAGCCCAAGGTTATATTGTTAATGGATAAGATTATTGTGAGGGATAACTCAAATGAGAAATGATGTTGCTGTCTTTGAGGGTTGGGGATTTTGGTGTGGGAGAAATGAATAAAGATGTAAAATTGATAAAGTGTAGTAAAATCCCTTAGTTCACAGTTTGAGTTTGGATTATCAATGTAAACTCAATGTATTTTTTTAAATAAGACTTTTTAATTTTTCCATGGAAAGTGCCTAGAAATAAGTCCAAACCCAGTAGTAATGCATTTCACTACTACCCATATTGTGGTCTCCACCATTTTTATTAAATGGTCCCAAGACGTCTTCAAGTCTGAGAGACATGTACGCGATGAGCTTGGAACTTCTTATACTGGGAAGTGTGGATGCTATGCTGTTAAACCTATGAGGGTCGTGTCAAAAAACTCAGGACAGATTGAACAGACTCCCATTTGGCAAACACAGGACAGTCTGATCATCAGAAAGGATAATAATTGCAATATACTGAAATACATTAAGTATGTTTAAATCCATGAGCTCCTAATGCTGCAGAGATAACTCAGGTCATGTTGGATAGTGCTGGGAAACATAGTGAAATGGTGACAACCAAGACTGCCCCAAATACTTGGGATGCATGGACACCCTTTCAAAAGACATATCAACCTATCATGATGTATGTGCTGTATT